AGAAGCCTAAATCTGATGAGCAGACATGACTGGCAACTGCAATGGCTGGAAAGACAGACTGCAAGGAATTCGTGAGGAAGAAAACCAAAACAAACCCACTTCCAGTTCCACAAATAAAGAGAAGAAATAACAGAGCTTGATGATGATGCGGACAGCCAGAATGTTCGTCCAAAACCAAGAAGTCCTTCGGGGAAAAGCAGCTGGCGCTACAAGGTGCACTTTTGAAAAAGAGGAAAATGGGCCAGGGATTTAGCTCAGGGGCACTGAGCCTGCCTCGCAAGCGCAAGGTCCCAAGTTTGATCCCCGGTAACAAAAAGAAAAAAAGGAAAAGAATGATGTCACAAGCAAGTTTTCCATCCCAAGGAGAATGCTACATTTGTACAATTACTGTGAAAATTATTCAAAGTAGGATAATCACTTACATTAAAAAGTCCCCAAAGCACTACATTGTGAAGACCATGCTCACATGGCAGCAGTTTGGTGTTTTAAGTTGGGATGGGTAAAGGTGGTAATGTTCAAAATTGTAAATGTGGTATACAATCATTTTAACATTCATGCATTTTAACATCGAGTGCCTGCTAATTGTCACTATAGATATAAACTGAATGAGCCACAAGCCCTACACTCAGGCTTTCACACGGCAGTGCCTGTAGTTTTCCAGGGGACAGCTCCACCTGGAGTTCATTTGGGGCAGGGAGGCCTGCGCTAACTCTACAAGGGTGTGAGCTAGACAGTCTCTTAAAAGGACCATGAGCTGGGTGTGGTGGTGCACACCTGTAATCCCCGCACTCAGGAGGCTGAGGCAGGAGGATCACTGTGAGTTCGAGACCAGCCTGGGCTACACAGTGAGTTCAGGGCCAGCCTGAACTATAAAGTAGCAAGACCTTGTCACAAAACAGGACCATGTTTCAAGAGTAAGAGGTTCTTATTTGTAAACAGGCTTACCTGCTGGAAACAGGTCCCTGCTGTACAGACTTTCATAGATAACCGAGCTCTTTTAATTCAAATTATTTCAGTGTTTTTTACAATGCTGTGTAAATGCTTTTTGGTTTAGACTTCACTTTTAAAATTGCCTTAAGTATAAATAATAACTTTTACATGTCTTTATTTCATCACTGAGCTGCCTACTTTTTTATTGGTTTTCTCAGCCTCCCTTCACTCTAATATTTTTAGCCCATTGTTTGCTTTGTCCTCCATAAAAGGTTTCTGAAGCCAGATTTAAAAACACACACACACACGCACACACACACACACAATACATCGAAAAAGGAGAAAATGTGAGGATCTACTCAAGTCGTGTTCTACAAAAGAAAACAAAGGTGAACACTGAGAATCAGTGCCTGCTTGAACCTCCTCTATTGCTAGAGGTTTTCAAGATGACAAAATAAGCACAGTGGCTGAAACCATGAGAAGAAACACAATAAAAATGTTAACAAAGCCCACACATCTGATAAGCAACCATGGCCCAGCAGCCCGGTGAGAATGCCACCTAGGAATGAACCGGCACACGTTCTGGGTGAGCCAACTAGGACAAGCCACTGGGTCCCCAGCACCGCTTCCAGAATTCTATCCAAGTCACTGCAGGAGAGGGAAAGTACGTGCCAGGTCTGTGCTAGCCTGGAGTCCAGTGGAGGGACTGCCCGAGACTGGATAAGCATATATTTCATTCTAGCTAGGCCTGGTAATCCCAGCTACTCAGCAGGCTGAAGCAGGAGGATCCCAAGTTTGAGGCCAACTGGGCAACTCATTGAGATCTTGTAACAAAAATAAAAAGGCCTAGGGAAGTAGCTAAGTGGTAGAGCACTTGGCCACATGCATGAGGCCCTGAGTTCTGTCCCCAGAACAAGAAGGATGTATTCGATTCAAGTAGAGAGAAAGGCGGTGCAGTGGACACAGAGGGGAAGCTCAAGGCCAGAGGAGAGGACTAGGGTGGCCCTGAAGGGAGGCACTGAGAAGGCTGCCAAGCACACACCCTGCCAAGCATCTTTCTGGGTGCCTTCATTCAACACCACCAGACAGGATCTAGCAGACACGAGGACCTGCCTGCTACCCCATGCTTTCGTTAGCCTACAGAATCTGTGCTTCTTATGTTCTTCTTCGTGAAATTCTGGGCAGATATGGCCATTCAGCTTTGCTCTGGGTGCTAGGGATTTAGCTCAGTGGTTCTGCTGCCTGCTTCGCAAGTACAAGGTCCTGAGTTCGATCCCTGGTACCAAGAAATTTTTTTTTTCGCTCTGGATATAATTCCTCCTGAAGAGACTATCTTCTCTCACTTGCTGCTGGGCCTGCCAGGGCAGCAGGGCTGAGTCCTGTCCCGGCTCGGTCACTTCCAGCTGAGGCAGGGTGGGGACAACTGAGTGGGTGAACACAGAGCCTGTGCCTCCCCGTTTGTCTGACCCGCAGCTGTCGGCCACACCTTGTCACTGAGGTGCGCTACCCAACGCCTGTGACTTAAAGAAGATCAGGCTCATTTGGGCTCACACTTTTAGTTCATAGTTGGCTGAATGCAAGGCAGGAAGGGAAGGTGGAAGGGACTAGAGAGAAAACTGTTCACATCTTGGCAACCAGGAAACAGGGGAGAAGCCAGGAAAGGAACTCACCCAACCCGCCTGTTACCTGGCCCTAGCTTCCAATATCAAGGCAGCTACAGCTCCCAAAGTGCAGTCACCTTTGCATCCATGAGGCTTACACATCCAGTGTAAGCTCCGCAGCCTCCCCTTGAGTACATTCGCACATCTCCAATTTAACAAAAGCAACCACTCAGTCCTTTTCTCCCCTTTGTGTATGTGTGTGAGTTTTTAATGCTTTTGTTGTTCATTTTTTCCTTTTTAAACAAACCTTGCTCTTGTTCTGTGCCCGGGCCTCTCCCTCCTGGCCCCCCTGCTTTGCCTTCTGCGGGAAACCCTTCTCTCAGCCCTTCAAGAACTGCACAAGGGATGCATTTGAGTCTGCAACCATGAACTCTCTTGATCTGAAGCCCTATTTCTGCTGGTGAAGCCCATAGACTGCAAACTCACTGGTGTGGGGAGTAGGTACAGATCTGCAAGCCAATAACTCGGCCTCCCGAGTTACATAATGTGCTGCCTAGTTGTAAGAATAGGTCAAGTACAATGGATATACAACAGGTCAAGTACTTAGATCTATGCAATTTTAGGTTAAGCTCGGGACAGAAGTTCAGAGGAAAGGAAAGACCTCTTTGTGGTTCTGCAAGCACTTTAACTGTGTGAGGTTCTCCAAGATGCTAGAACCCAGGAGGCTGGGCTCTGGGACCCTGGGCCACCCCCTCCCTTTTGTCACTGTCCACACAACACTGCTCTGGTTCATATCGAGCTGTCCCCCGAGAGCCCGGTGCACTCCTGGGCCGTGGGAGTGCCTCATAGCTGACCTGTGGTTAGGAGCCGGGTCTGTCTGGAGGAGGCCAATAGGGGTGCAGGGCATATGCCTCCCGGCTCCTCCGTCCCTGGCCCTCTCCTTCCTGGCTGTGCAGAGCAGCCTTGCTCTGCCCAGGCCCTTCCGCTATGCCATCCTGCTTGGGCGCCAGCTGACCTTGGAATTAAACACGAGCCAAAATAAGCCCCTCCTCCTATGGCTTGAGTGTTGGGTATTTTGTCGCAGCAACAAGGAAAGTGACTAAGTCAATGTGTAACACTCTCAACTTCACTGCAGAAGTATTTACTATTCTACTTAATAAGCATTTTCCAGTTACTTTAACTCATGAGTGGGGGTAGTTTCTTGGGGAAAACGGGGAAAGTGAGTACTTACTCAAAGCCTATGGTGAGCCTCAGTGGAGGTAAACATTTTGCAGGAACAGCTGGCTAAATTATCTTTGTGCTTGAAAACAACCACATCTGGGTACTAAAGACAACAATCTTTAAACATTTATCTTTTTTTCTCCAGAAAACTTTCTTGTTAAAAATGGGATATTGTAGCCGGCTACCGAAGATCAAGCTTTTTATGAACTGTGGGCTACCTCTCTGGCAAGAGCTCTACCACTGAGCTGTGTCCTAGCTCTCCTCCCTCTCTTAAGGAGTCTCAGGGTCTTATTATGTCCCTGGTCTAGAAGTCATGGGCCCAGATGATCCTTTTGCCTCAGCCCCCATGTAGCTGGGATGTAAGTGTCCACCACCACCTTGGCTCTTATCCTGGTTTTTAAACCTGGATCTCTGATGTGACATCATACAGTGAGGGGCTGCTAACTTGAGGCTTTCTCTCCGTACCCAAGCTCCTGGGCCACAGGGACCACTATGGCGAATGCCTGCTGTACAACCAGGGCCCGCCCTGCACTGCACCTCCTGACTTGTGTGCAGGAGCACCCGCTCGATCCATGGGCACCACTGCTGCCTGACCGACTCCCAGTAAACGCCTGGGTACAGGGACTGGGCGAGCTTCCCCTGCGGAAGCTTCTTGCCATCACACAGAGCTGCTGGCCAGAGGCCCACGTCCACACCGCCACCTGCACCACTGCTCCAGGAGAAGTCAACTGGGATCCCACGCTGTGGGCCTTCCCTTGTGGATTCTGATCTGTCGTTCTGCCGTAATAAAACAATAACTATGGCAGCAGCTGGCCCGGGTCCGAGTCCTGCCAGGGAGTAAGTTCCCTTCCCAGTACCACCACCAAAAAAGAATAATTTGATTTGGATACCTTGTCTCTTCAAGGGCTCTGGTTAATTTTTTAAGAATCTACAGTAGGGTCAAGGATTTAGCTCAGTGGCACTGCAGCAACCTCACGAGCACAAGGTCCTGAGTTCGATCTCTGGTACCAAAAAAAAAAAAAATCCACAGTAAGCACAAGTCAAAAATAGGCTAAAATAAGTTTTTATTAAATGTTAGAAGAGATTTACACACAATTCACAAGTTCATTACAAAACAATTTTCCAGCCTTTAATTTTGTGAGTTTCTATACAGGTTTGGTAATTTTGCTATGAAATGAAGTTATAAAATATTTGTTTTAGAAAGCACTGAAATGCTAATTTTAGGCAAAATAATGTTTAAAACTCAACTCTGTGCATGAAAAGCTCTCAAAATCCTTATTCTTTATCCCAGTGAAAAATAATGGGAAAATGAACATTAAGCTGGTTTACTGAGGAAATAACAAGTATTCTGTAAACTTCTGAAATTCACCTGAATTTTTTTATTACTTTCAGGAGCAATGTCATTACAAGGTGACAACCATACTTTGAATGCAAATAAAATTAAAAACATAACCACAAATAAGCACCTCTTATTGTGAAACATGTTAATCTCATTAAACTGAAGGCTTTTGGCGCAGGCAATAAACCCTATAGGAAACAGCCTCTTCACATAGAATAGTGGTGACCCATCTGTTTTAGGACTGAATACCACCTGCACAGTGGTGTTGCTAGGATGAACGAAACAGACACAAGTTCAAAAGATGATGGCAACGTGCGAAAGCTCAAAAGCGGCCCGCCATTCTGCGTTCTGCACCTTGTGGCTGAGCAACGGCTGGCTCCGAGCCTTCTGTCCACAGCACACTTCCTTTCCTCAAAAAGATGCCTGCCCAACCACCAACTTGAAAGGGATACACTTGACAGAGTAACCAATTCACTTCAAAGACCGGAAGCGAAAATCGATGTCAAAGTATCTGGAATCACAAGGAATTTTAAATTCAATGTTTTGAAAAATTTTCCCTGAGCTCTGGTGCTTTTTATATGGTCTCCAATGACACAGATGTATTCCACGTCCCAAGTTGTATCCTGGTGCTAAAAACAGATCCACTAAGTCTTGACAGCATGAAGGGGTGGTGGTGATATGTTCTGTGGAAATCTTTGGTGAAATGCAGTCCTGCAGAAGCCTCCTTTTACTTTCTTCCCCTCCTTGCCTCTTCAAGTTATTTTCAGAGGAGAAACCACTAGACCGTAATGAAGAACGAGCAGACCATCCTGAAAAGTGGGGAAAGACTATTTTTCAGTTTTTTGAAAATCAAAGTTGCCTTCTCCGCCCCCACCCCAGTAGGAGGGATAGAATTCAGTACCTTGCACTTGCCAGGCAGATGGCGCCACTGAGCTAAATCCCTGGCCCTTAGCTGTCATTTTTAAAAAATAACATTAATGTGAAATTCTTTGATTTTTTAAAGAAAATAAAGGGTCAAAGACAAATATGCCTGCTTATAAACTTACCTCATCAACAAACACTCCACTGTCAATGTTTTTGTTTTTTGTTTTACAAGACAGGGTCTCACCATATTGCCCAGGCTGGCCTTAAACACCTGGGCTCAAGTAGCCTCCTGCCTCAGCCTCCTGAGTAGCTAGGACTACAGGCATACACCACCACCACACCTGCCAAGTTAGCAGTTGATGTTTTTTTTCTGGTGGAGCTGGAGATTGAACTCAAGGCCTTGAGCAACCTGAGCGAGAGCTCTATAACTAAGCTATAACCAGCCCCTCCATGTGTCCTTTAATGACTCCCAGGGGCCAATTCTGTGACTATCATGTAAACACCATTAAGCAGGATTGTTTATGACTAGTTTTCTAAAAAGAACTAAAAGGAATAAAGCTTGCCTTCTTCATAGACTACTAAACATACTACTAAGCACTGGGTCTATTTGGGGAAAAAAAAGACTCAACTATCACAAAGTATCATGGATTTGTTTAAGAAATGTTCATTCCACATAAATGCAAGCTTTCTATTATTCCACATGATAAAACTTTGAAACTCTTAACCATTTAATGGAAGCCCCAAATAAATCCTATATATTATTTCCTCCTTGAATACTGCACTCAGGGGGCTGGTGGGCAAATTAATGCTATTTAGGCAGTCCAGATGCTGTGTTTCCATGTCTTTTACCTGCTTTTTTGTGGGTCTGTATCCACCCCTCCAAGGTACTAGGGACTGAACTGAGGGCCTTCACACTGAACTATGTCCCTAGCCCTTTTATTTTGTTTTGGTTTGTGTTTCTTCATGGTAGGGTCTCCCTATATAGTTCATGCTGGCCTTGAGTGCACTATGTAGCTGAGGCTGGCCTACTCCCCATGTATTCACGGCATACGCTGGGCATGTAGCTCCTTAGAGGCTAAAGTGTTGTAGGTCCTGGGCTCAAAAGCTAGTACTGCTTAAACAGGGAAAAGGCCCTCTGAATTCTAAGGATGGTTTCCACAACTGAACAGGTTTGTGGTGCCCTTGCCCCAGAGAAACAAATACTTAGAGCAGATTCTCACTGCACCCAGTTAGTTGTATCATGCTTACTCTTCATATCCAGTGTTTCTCTTGCTCAAAGATGTGAAGTACTGTGCAACAGATGTATACCCAAATGGACAAATATTTATGGAATATTTATATTGGCTTGAAGCTAGTTCCTCTAAGTCACCACAGGGAAAAGATGTATGCATATAAAGAAGGCAATCTGACATTAAAGTTACACTGTTTAAAGCACCCAAACCCAAACCCAAGCATCACATGCTGAAAGCGTGGTCCAGTCCCTAGTATGATGGTCTGAGATGGGAGACCCTTCAGAGGTGGAGTCCGGAGGAAAGTCAGAAGGTCACAGGGGCCCCACCCTCATGAACAGATTAACACTGTCTCAGGTAGTAGGTTAGATCTCAGGGTACCGGATTAATTCCCTCAAGAACGAGCTGTTATATAAAGCGAGTTCAGCTATCTCAGCTTACTCTCTTGTATATGTGCCCCTTCCACAGGCTACTGGTTCTGTTACACTTCTCAGTCGCACGATCCTGGGCAGGACACCAGCACCATGCTGTCTGGACCTTACAGCCACCAGGATCAGGAGCCAAATAAACGCTTATTGTTTAGAAGTTACTCACACTCACAGAGCCAGAAGGCGTCTGCTCTTCAACAGTGCTAAGTCAGACTGTATTGCTTCCATTTAGCGCTCACCACTGTGCCATCCATAGTTTCCTACCATACTCAGTTAAAAGCCAAGTTCTAGCACTGCCTACAAGGTCCATCATCATCTTATTCCCTGACTGCCTAGCCCCGGCCCCTCCATTCCCTCCCTCATTACATCCTAGCTTTCCCTTTCAGAGCAATAAACCATTCATTTAGCTAAAAGGTCTTCAGATTCCATGAAACTTCTCCCCATGTGTCAAGAATAGAGCTCTATGAATAACTTGCTAAATCATATTTTCTACCCATCCTACTGAGTTTGGGATTTACTTCTAGAATCTTACATTTATAATCAAACTCACTTTTTTTTGTTTGTTTGTTTTCCTAGGACAGGGTTTTGCAATGGTCCAGTTTGGCTCCAAACTCACAACACAGTCCCTTGAACACAGAAACGCTCCTACCCAAGCCACCAGTGCTGTGATTACAGGTGTGCACCATCATGCTGAGAATCAAGCTTACTTTTTTAAAAAGATAATAATCTTTTCTAAGATTTCTGAAGTTTGACCTCATAAATTTTTCAGGAAAAATTTTGATTTTATCACAAAATATTCTTTACCTAGGGTAGGAAAGTTTTACTTTTCTAATGAATTTTTTAATTGCTTTTTTCTTTGTTACTAAAATATAATTATTAGTATAGTGGTCTATTTCTAAAAGTATGTGGCAATACTCAATCATCAGAAGGATTCATCTACCTTTGTTAAGAGTCTAAGGTTTAATTTCAATTTTTTTCAACAAGTGAATCCTGATCCTACTACTAGTAACTGGGCAAGTAACTCATGTCTATACAACTGCTTCCTCATCTGTAAGATACACTGATGGCTGGGAAAATTAGAGAATAAAACTGAGGAGAAATAGGACACATACAGTTTTAAAGTATTCCACTCAAATATTTATTAATTACAGGAAAAAAGCTTCCAGTTCCAAGAAATATGATATATCTCCTGATATGATATACTGAGAAAGGAGTATTAATTTCTATGGCATTCTTGTAAAAAATGTATAACCTCAATCTAGTTATGAGGAAATATATGACAAATCCAAACTGAAGGACTGCCCATATGAAAAGTGACCAGTAGTAGTCTTTGCTTTTCCTTTATACAGTGCCAGGATTGAACCCAGGACCCCCCACCCCTTCTTTTTGCCGTACGGGAGAGCAAACTCCACAGCGCTCTACCACTGAGCTACATCCCCACCAATTTTTATTTTTTGTTTTGGGACAGTCTTGTTAAATTGTTCAGGCTGGGTTTGAACTTGTGATCCCCCGTCTCAGTCTCCCAGAGTGCAGGGACTACAATATGTGCTAGCATGACCAGCTCTGACCAGTTCTGTTTACACATTAAAGTCTGGGGCAGAGGATGTAGCTCAATAACAGAGTATTTGTTAACAATATAAGGCCCTGGGTTTAGTCCCCAGGGTCGCGCTACAGTACAGCTTTTGCCTAGGAGGCCCACAGAAAGAAAGTACACTTTAAGCTGGGCCTCATGGCATGTGCCTATAATCCCAGCACTAAGGAGGCCAAGAATGGAGGACTGCAATTTTGAACCCAACTGGGATTACAGTGAGGCTCTGTCTCAAAACAAAACAAAACAAAACAAAAAAAAAAACAGGTTAAACAAAAGTATCATACATAGATAGGAGTGGAAGGTCCAGATCAGTGCTCAGTAAATAGAAGGCTGAGTTCCCAGACATGGTGGTGTGCATCTGCAATCCCAGCACTTGGGAGGCTGGAAAACTGCCACGACTTCAAGTCCAGCCTGGGCTAGGGTACATAGCCATGAAGGACAAGAAAGGAGAGCAGAACTTAGAAGACAAAAGACACGATATCAAAGGGCAAAGCAAAATCCTAGATTTGCTTGTAGGAGGAAAAACAAACAATAATAGGGAAAGTAGCAAAATCTGAATGTCTGCAGTTTAGCTAAAGGTATTAAAGTGATATTAATTTCATAGTTTTAATATCATAATTATACTATAGTTATCTAAGATATTAATATTAAAGGATGCTGGGTAATATCTACAGAGGACCTCTCGGTACTAGTTTTATAATTTTTCTGTCTTAAAAAGCTAAAAGAAGGGCTGGGGATTTAGCTCAGTGGTTCCACCACCTGACTCACAAGTATAAGGACCCGAGTTCGATCTCTGGTATAAAAAAAATACAAATGTGATAATTTCCTTATAATTCTCCTCTGAGAGATTAAACAGACCTTTCTGCCAGGTGTAGTGGTGCATGCCTGTAATCCCAGCACTTGGGAGGCTGAGGCAGGAGGATCACTGTGAGTTCAAGACCAGCCTGGGCTACATAATGAGTTCTAGGTCAGTCTCAACTACATAGTGAGACTCTGTTTCAAAAAACCAAAAAAAAAAAAAGGCTAAAAGAAAATGAAAAGGGTGGGAAAAGAAAAGAAGAAAGTGGCACACACTTGCAGTGCTAGCAGTCAGGAGGATGAAATGAAATATGAAACTAGCCTGGCAACATAGTAAGATCTCATCTCAAAGTAAATAAAACAGATGTCAAATTTAGTGGAAACCGGAAACACACACACACACAATGTGTATTGTGGATTGAACCCAGGGGCACTCTACCATGGAGCTACATCCCCAGCCCTTCTCATTTTTTATTTTGAGACAGGATCTCTCTAAGTTGCCCAGGCTGGCCTTGGACTTGTGATCCCCTGATTCAGCCTCCCAGGTAGCTAAGATTACAGGTGTGTGCCACTGTGCCTGGCTGTCAAGATGATTTTTCCATCTATGTTCACTAAGGAGATTGGCCTGTAATTCTCTTTCTCTCCCACCCACCTCTCTCTTTGGTACCAGGAATCAAACTCAGGTCCTTGCACTGCTTGGAAAGCTGTAATTTTCTCTTTCGTTTGGATCCTTCTCTGGTTTTGGAATCAGGTTAACGCTTGCTTCCAGGAATGAATTTAGGAGTATTGCTTTTTTTTTTTTCTTTTTCTTTTTTGAGACAGGATGCCACTATGTAGTTAAGAGTGACCTGGAACTCACTATGTAGTCCAGGCTGGTCTCAAACTCACAGCGAGATCCTCCTGCCTCAGCCTCCCAAGTGCTGGGATTACAGGGGTGCGCCACCACGCCCAGCTACTTCCCTTTCAATTTTCATTAAAGTTTGAGGAGTAGCATCATTAGGTCTTCTCTAAATTTCTTGTAGAATTCAGCTATGAATACATTAGGGATTCTTCGTTGGTAGGTTTCTAACTACATATTCAATTTCATTAGCTGATATACCGGTTTATTTAGAATTTCTATATCTTCTTGATTCAGCTTTGTAATTCATATGTATCTAAGCATCAGTCCATTTCTCCTTAGTTTTCCATCTTATTAGAATACAGGTTCTCAGCCAGGCATGGTGGCGCACACCTGTAATCCCAGCACTCGGGAGGCTGAGGCAGGAGGATCGCTGTGAGTTCGAGACCAGCCTGGGCTACATAGTGAGTTCCAGTTCAGTCTCAACTACATAGTGAGACCCTGTCTCAAAAAAACCAAAAAGAATACAGGTTCTCAAAGTAGGTATTGATGATCTGGATTTCTGCAGGATCTGTTGTGACTTCACCCTTTGCATTACTAACCACGTGGATTTGAGCTTTCTTTCTTCCTTTCTTTTTTTTTTTGATAAGGTTGGCTAAGGGTTTGTCAATTTTATTTAATCTTTCAAAGAATCAACTCTTCATTTTGATTCTTTGTATTGTTTCCTTAGTCTCCATTGTATTAATTTCTGCTCTGATTTTTATAATTTCCTCCATATGAGCTTTAGGCTTGGCTTGTTCTTCTTTTCCTAGAAGCTTGAGGTTCAACATTAGGTTGTTTATTTGAGACTGCTGTTTTCCTGATATGGGAATTCACCCCTATAAATTTCCCTAATAGGACTGCTTTCATTGCATCCCGTAAGTTCCAGTATGTTGTACTGTCATTAATGTTTAATCATAGAAACTGTCTGATTTCTAGAAACTGTGTAATTTCATCTGTGACTGGGGATTAAACTCAGGACCCTGTGCTTGCCAAGCATGGTGCCACTGAGCTACATCCCCCACCCTGTCCAGTTGATTTTTTTGTTGTTTTTTTTTTTTGGTACCGGGGATCGAACTCAGGACCTTGCACTTGCAAGGCAGATAGCCAAACCACTGAGCTAAATCCCCGGCCCATCAAGTTGATTTTTAAAGATAAACTGTTTTAAATTATCTAGCAAGTTGACTTGGGTTAATCATAGCAACCTTTTAATGATTTTAAAATAGGAAGGAAATGGCATTAAAAAAGGAAATCAATATAGGTTAATTTCAATCACAATTGATGCATTAGATTAATTTTGAAATTGTTAAAATAAACAGACCTCTAATAGACAAGAAGTGTCTTGGCTCATCTTGTTTTCCCTGCTCTGGTCCACCTGGTCACATTTTTTTCTAGTGGAAAATAACGGCATTTAGAAACCAGGATCTCCTAGCCTGGTGTGTGGTGCATGCCTGTGATCCCAGCACCTGGGAAGCTGAGGCAGGAGGACTGCTGGAATTTGAGGCTAGTTTGGTGCTAACAGTAAGTTTGAGGCCAGCCTGGACTACACAGGGAGACTCTATCCATGCAAGGACATGGGTTTTATCCCTGGCACAGCCAAAATAAAATAAAATAATAATAGCAATAATGAGAAGCAGCAGCCGGCGCCAAAAGACTTGGCATGTAGGCACATACATGCCTGTAATCCCAGCACTTGAGGATTTCAAGTTCAAGGCCATCCTGGCTACAAAGAGACCTTGTCTCAAAAAACCAAACACCAGGCTGGGCATGGTGGTGCACACCTGTAATCCCAGCACTTGGGAGGCTGAGGCAGGAGGATCACTGTGAATTCAAGATCAGCCTGAGCTACATAGTGAGTTCCAGGTCAGCCTTAACTACACAGTGAGACCCTGTCTCAAAAACAAAAAACAAAACAAAACAAAAAGAAAAAACAAAAAAAACCCAAACACTAAATAAACAAAACAAACAACAACAACAACAAAAGAACAAAGGGGGAAGGTAAATCCATACAAACTACTTAAATTAGTGCCTGAAATGCAATAAGCACTTCATAAATATTAGCTATAACTATTATTTGTGGTCCAGATAATGTTAAGAATTGTAGGTTCCGTACAAAAACATTACTGAGAAGATGGAATCCCTCGTGTCTATATGGCACAGCGCGACATGGCCCGAGACCCACCTGCATTGCTGCATCCCCTACTGCCCGCCGGATCTCCCTCAGAGTCTGGTACCGCTCCAGCAGGTGATCGCCACAGATGATGTCTACCTATGGAGACAAGAGCATGCCCACCTTGGATTGTTTTCCAGTCCACAACACCTCCAAGAAACGAGGTGGAAATCAATAGTCACTGCCAAGCCAGACTGATTTACTTTAGACTCATTCAACACTCTCAGAATAGTTTTAGAAACTCTTTACAGAAAGCCAAAAGGTAAAATGAGAAGAACTGAGGGACACAGAACTATATAATATTCAAAATGATTCCCTGAATCTTGGAGAGATTAAATCATGTCCAATGTATTCAGCACAAAAATACTTTTTGTAAATGTTTCATGATAAAATAATTATATAATATTAATGATTAAGAAGGTGATCTTTTAATAGTTCTCTTATGAGGAATTCTTTTATCCAACACCACCACATGTGACTTAAAATACTAAGAAAATTTTTATGAACAGAACAACCTTAACATGATTTTTCTTTTTTTTTTTGAGATGGGGTCTCACTGTATAGCCCAGGCTGACCTCAAATTCTTGGCAATTCTCCTGCCTCACCCTTCTGAGTGCTAGGATTACAGGACTGCACCACCACGCCCAGCAGTTTAATACAATCTTTTCAGCCCATTATGATGTTAAAGTTCTAAAATCTACCTACCATTTATACAGAATCCTCTAGGAGCAATAATATAGAATTATATACTACACTGCAACAAAATTTCACTATATTTACTAAGATTAAAAAAGAAAGATCAAAATATAAATCTTGGGCTGGGGATGTAGCTCAGTGGCGCTGCTACCTGCCTTGCACCCACAAGGGCCTGAGTTCAATCCACGGCACACACAAAAAAAGCAAATCTTTAATCTCTGTCTTTGAGCACTTCCTTACCATTACCTTAAAATGAGAGTCAGGTTCTCATCATCTCTTTTCTCCCTGCAGTAATAGGAAGTGAATTCAGGGCCTTTTCACTGAGCTACATCCCCAGTAGTTCCTTTGTATTTTTTATGTTGAGACAGTGTCTCACTAAGTCACTAACTTGCCCAGGCTAGGTTTGAACTTGTGACCCTACATCCCTGGCTAGTTCCTCATCTTATCAATACCTATCACTTAATTGGCTCCCTCTCCAGAAGTCCTTAGTCTATGATTTGAGATTCCTCCTTGTCCTTACTCCTCCTCCTTTTCCTTCTCATATCCACTCAAATGCCTTGATTTCAGTGTATCTATCAACTGCTGCCCCTAGGCTAAAACCTCCAAAGCCACTCACTCCCTAACCAGAATCCCAACTTTCAAATTCTTTTTACTTAAAAAAAAATCCTAGGGGTTGGGGGTATAGCTCCAGTACAGCTTCAGGTTCCATCCCCAACAGCAGCACAAGCATTGCCCACACATCCATCTCCCGAAAACTTTCAGCATGCTCGAGAAAGAAGAGTAAAGCCATTGTGTTTAACTAAGTAGCCATTTATTTGACATTATTAGCTAATCCTCACATTCTTGTGATCTAGGTATTACAATTCCCAACTTCCACACCAGAGTACACCAAACTTTCCTAAAGTTACAAAGCTAGTAAGTAGCAAAGTTCAGTTCTGAATCCTGATCTGTCTCTAGCTCTTCCTCTAAAGCCTAAAAAAGTATAAATAAGGAGTAAAATAAAGGTAATAGGAAACAGGGAGATAGATCTTTTGCAAATGGGAAGGGGCCTGAGAATGGAGGGGAGAGGAAAGGGAAGAGAGAGAAGTAAAAAAAAAAAAAAATTAAAGACGTTATGCACATGTATCAATTCCCCATAAATGAAATCATTAGCACTGTAAACATGTACTAATAAAAATTTTAAAACCTCACTGGGCGAGGTGATGCATGCCTGTAGTACCAGCAAGCAGAAGGCTGACGCAGGACGATTGCTGAAAGTTTAAGGCCAGCATGGGCTATAAATTGAGTTCAAAGTCAGCCTGAATTATGTAGTGGAGACCCTGTCTCAAAAAAAAAAAAAAAAAAGAAAAACAGTAAGCGTAATAAATAGAAACAGTGTTTAAAACGGCATCTTAGTGCTAACAAACTTCTTCTATAAAGGTCTGGATAATAAATAGCTTATGTTGAATGGCCCACAGGACATCTGTCATAGCTATTGAACTCAGGTGTTACAGCACATAAGCAGCCATGATGTGGCTATGTCCAATAAACCTTTATTTGTAAAAACAGGTGGCAGCCAGATTTGGTCCTCAGGTATGCTGACCCCTGATTTTTGTTGTTTTTTTCCTTCAGACAGTCTTGCTATGTAGCCCAAGACCCACACTCCCACTCCTCCAGCCCAAGCCTGAGGCTGGTATTTCAGACATGCACCCCACACCCCACTCACCAATGCCGTTCTATCTTGTAATGATGTGATCTCAGATTTGCAGCAACGCTAGTGCTTACATTTACTAGCTTTAAAATCAGCAGACCAATACCTGTCTGCAAAATATGTTGAGAGCACAATGATTTCAGATCTTGTACACAGAACTCAGACCCATGAAAAGTAAAGATTTTGGAAACTACTACTATGTTCTGTTAAGTATTCAGCCATCCAGAAATCATTATTCTCAGTGGGCTTTACTAAATGATATACTATGAATTGCTTTCCTCTTCAACTTTGAATCTTTCTGCTTTTCTGTGGTACTGGGGCATTCTACTAGTAAGCCACACTCCCTAATTTTATTTTACTTGTTTGTTTTTGGAGACAGGGTCTCACTAAGCTGCCCAGGCTGGTCTCAAAACTTAATCTTCCTGCCTCAGCCTCCTGAGTAGCTAAGATTACAACTGACAACAATCTTTTCTTTTCTTTTCTTTTCTTTTCTTTTCCTTTCTTTCTCTCCTTCCTCCCTCCCTCCCTCCCTCCCTCTTCTCCTTCTCTCTTGTACTGGGGATTAAACTTGGGACCTTGTGCTTGCAAGGCAGGCGGCAGAACCACTGAGCCAAACCCCCAGCGTCCCTGACAACAATTTTCTTAAAAAATTATAACTCACTGTGACAAATTCAAAAGCATAGTATATTCAACCGATTTTTAAGAAGCATAACATTATAGCCAGGTGGTGCGGTGGCACACACCTGTAATCCCAGCACCCTGAGAAGCCGAGAGAAGAGGACTGCAAGTTCAAGCCCGGTGTGGGCAATTTAGAGACCTAGACATTATGAGATACTGTCTCAAAAATTTTTTAAAAAGGGCAGAGACTGTAGCTCAGTGTGACAGTCACGGGGTCAGTACCACAGGAAAACAAAACAAAACAAAACAAAACCCAAAACATAGAGCTGTAGAAAGTAAACGGTAATTCTTCCCATGCTTCAATTCTAACCCCTAGCAAATGGCCAGTTACTGACCATTTGATATGTGTAGTGCTGGATGCTGTGTGTACATGTAGATTTTCAAAATCATTTTTGTCTTTACAAAAGAATGTGATCATGCCACAATACCATTTTATAGTATTTTAATGAAAACCTAAAAATTTTCATAATCCCAGAATTTAGGAAGCTGAGGCAGGAGGATCACACAATTTTAGGACATCCTGGGCTGTACAGTGTGTTCAAGGCTGGCCTGGATTACACAATGAGACTTTGTCTCAAAATAAACAAAATAAAATGGATAAAAGACTACATGATTTTTTAAAACTGTCTTCCCTTGGTGTTTTCTTTTTTTATTTGTTTGTTTGGTTGGTTGGCCACAAACCATTTCAAATGCAGTTCATTCCTCAAGAGTTCACTGCTAATTATTCATCCTGCTAATAAATAACCATATATAAAGATCACATATCTGTCAACAAAATACAGCACACACTGCCTACCTGGGACTCCCTGGTTTAAAGAAAATCTACATAGAAGACTCAAGTGTCTAGGAAACACCAAAAGTCTTATTCTGATCACTGGCTACCCGGCTCAGTGTTTGCTTCACATTAGAAGTAACTCTATTATTTACCTTCTCTTGGATTCAGAAAGCTTAAAAGGTCATAGTCACAAATTAATGGGTGTACTTATTTAATAATTGGGTTGCACTGTTTTAGCATTTTGGTGAAGTAAGAAAAGTATTCTGGAAGGAGGGAAAGAATATTTACTAGAGAGCTAAGAGCTGACAGAGAAAATTAAAGGTTGAAACACAATTTAAATCATTTTATTTCTAAATGTTAAAAACCTTGAATTTTATAAGAAAAAGAGAAGCCATATTTTTATATAATAAAATCAATTCAAAAGAATCTACTACATCACATGGTGACTATAATTCATAACAATGCTTTTTGCTGTTTTCTGTTTTCAGGTACCAGGACTAAACCCAGGACCTGACAGATGCTAAAAAAACAATCCATTCTTGAAAAGTACTGAGTACAAATTTTAAGTGTTTTTACCATAAAAAATAAGCATGAGGCCATGCTATGTTAATTAACTTGATTTAGGCATTCCATAGTATAAACTTGATGTCTACATGACAAATACATATCATTTTGTTGATTAAAAAAACAGCTGGGAGGGCCAGGGATTTAGCTCAGTGGTGCAGCCACTGCCTTAAAAGTGCAAGGACCCAAGTTCGATCCCTAGTACCAAACAAAAAGAAAGAAAGAAATACTCCTTCGGGCCAGGGATTTAGCTCACTGGTTCCACCGCCTGCTTCAAAAGCACAAGGACTGGAGTTCAATCCCTGGTACCAAAAGAAGAGCTGGGTGTGGTGAAACATACCTATAATCCCATCACTTATATGTTCAAGGCCAGCCTAAACTACACAGTGAGACCCTGTCAATCAATCAATCAATGGAGAAAACCCAAAAACCCAATTTTGACCTTTATTAAGTCACCAAATGGGACAATTATAAATGGGAATTGTGCTCTGATCAAAATCTAGCCAGCCATCGAAGAAGCAATCTAAATCCTACAGAGGGCTCTCTTGGATATCCTTACTTATCTTATACAATCAGGGGCAAGTTTTCTGACTTCTGCTTTTAGAAATGTACTGATGAGATCACTCACAATTCTTTATCCAGGAGATTGTTTCTAACCAAAAACTTAAGAATAACTTCAAGCATGCCATGGCTACAAGGTAATAAGTCATTTATAATTTTTATTTGCCATGAGATACAGCCAGCATATGTCAAGCTCAGAGAAGTCACATTTCTTTGGATTTAATATATATTTTTAGCAAGAGTAGATATTGGTACTAAAAACATTCAAAATTTTAGTTACAGTTTTAACATTACTAATTTAGGCAATAGTAAACGAAGTATTTTTAGCTGTGTGTGGTGGCACATTCCTGTAATCCCAGCACTCTGGGAGGCTGAGGCAGGAGGACTACAAGTTCAAGCCCAACCTGGGCAACTTAATGAGCCCCTTTCTCAAACAAACAACTTTAAAATTAAAATAATGATAAAGCAAAGCCATATATATATGTATTTTCACTGGGCCCAAAACTAGAACTATGAGTATATTCTTATTTCCATAATACCTAGAATAGGAGATACTTTTCAATCCTTATAAAAGTGGTAGTGCCTATATTAGATAGATCTTTCACTTTTCTAGGTGTTTTGAGCTTTTCTCTGACACCAAGATGGTTATCAATGGCAATAAGAAATGGACAGCAAACCAAATGTGATTAAAGTTGGAGGAAAGAATCACTGTGCATCAATATTCAATTAACAGGCCAGGGATTTAGTTCAGTGGTGCTGCCGCCTGCTTTACTAGCATAAGGCTCTGAGTTGGATGCCTGGTACCAAAAAAAAAAAAAAAAAAAAAATAAAA